CTGATGATGGTGGAAAGAAAAAACACCGAAACGTATTCTGAAGAATGAACCAAACTGTAATAGCGAAGCAAATAAATGACTGAGACCCGTAAAACGAAAACGTAAGACGACAAAAATAAACTAATTTAATGTCATCCATTGGCATGTTTTTCGGCATAAATCGTACTAACTAGTCGATAATTTGGCCGAAAATTAAAAGGAAAACTGATTTATATACAAGCACGGTTGGGCAACGGAGCGTGTTTCCTTTCCGTTTAATACAGACGAATTCAATAGGTTTTCCTAATGACTAGCTATAGGCATTTGCTAAAAATTACAGGATTTTATTTGAGTGTGTGTGGAGCTTTGTTGAATATTCCATCTGCACAAAGCGAGTCGTTTTTGTAACGGCAGACATTCGAGGAAAATGGACGGTAATTTCGGATTCTGAGCCTCGTATGGTTTTATGGAAATTGCAATTTTGCGAAAATAATGCCTGCATTCTGCAAAAACCAGCCATTATCATCGAGTAACCCAAATTAGTTCAATTCTGGCTGATTGTTGGTGACCCGCACAATTGAGCGCGAGAATCGACTATTGCAATAAAATGTCGTTTATTTATAATGAAAAAATTCAAAAATTTTTGCCCCGTTAGTAGGTTTTAAGGCTCGCTGACATTGAACGCGAATCTTTGGCCAATTACATCATCTGATTGACGGAATAATGAATAAATCCGCGAAAAACCAGTTAACTAAGCTATGAATAATTTGATTCATTCAGGTACCAGTTTTCCTCAATTTATAAACGATTGCAGGTTTACTCAAGCCAGGCCATTAAAACAATAAAAACACAGATCGTCAGACCTTGGAAGGTATTTCGCAAAAAAAACATAACGATTTCGTTTTACAGTGGTACTTTTATGGATAAGTCGAGACCTTTGTGTTGGCTCGAATTACAATGGTTTATTCCGAACGGATTGAAATATACGCGAATACAATGCAATGCCATTTTTTAACTGATTTTACACGAATATAATAATTTTTCTGTTTGGTAATGCGCAATTACGGCTCGTGCTTTAGGCGTTTTGCAATATACACGTTGAATGGATCGTTTACATTTACATTTAGGCACTTGAGATCAGCAATTAATTAATTTCGATTGTTGCAAAGTGGCGTTTTCATTAAATCTTGCTGAAATAATAAAGAAACTGATGGTCTTTTGCGCATTCAAATTTATGTTCGGTTATAAACTGCTTTTTACTGCAAAATTTTTTTGCGAGAAAGACAAATTTGTTGCTGAATTTTTGATCAAAACTCATTTGTATTCCCAAAACATCGGTTTTTCACCATCTGTAGCGCTTTAAATATAAATACAAGTTAAAGTGTTCAAAATATTCAAGTTTTGGACGCGATAAAATCGCCAAAAACCAGACAAAAATTATTCAGTTATGAAAAAAAAAATAATACATTTGCTTTGTTAAGTTTTTTTTGAGAAACTGTCTAATAAAAGAAGATTTTTTATTAAATATTTATTTTTACGCGCAAAAGAACATCTTTTATTATTCATTCTGATCTGTCGCGCTTTGGACATCTTGAAAAGGTTAAGTGAAACTGATCGTAAAATAATTTAAATCTCCAAGCTTTGAGCGCATAAAAATCGCACAAGATTCTTTTGCGGGTTAAAATTTAAAAAATTTAATAAACTTTCTTTAATTAGTCACTTTCCCAAGAAAATGACAAAAAATGCAACATTTTATTATATTTTTTTAAAGAATTTTGTCAATGAATATTTATTTCTGTCCGCAAAAGAACATCGATTCTTATCCAATATGATCTGCCGTACCTCAAATTATGAAAAAGTTTACGCAAAACTGAAAAAAATGAAAAAATTATATAAATTTCCGACTTTTGAACGCAAAAAATCGCTGAGAACCAGAGAAAAAATATTGTTATCAATTTGCTTTTACTAGAAAGTTACAACAAAAAATGACCGACATATTTTTTACTCTGTTTTTGAGAAACTTTTTTGTAAGAAAGACAAATTTGTCGCTGAGGTTTTATTCAAAACTCATTTTTATCACAAAAACATTATGGTAAAGCATCTGTAGCGCTTTAACTATACAGATCAGTTAAAGTAAAACTGATGATAAATAAATTGAAAAGTTCAAGTTTTGAACGCGAAAAATCGCTAAAAACTAGACAAAAATTATTAAGTTGTGAATAGAAATCATCAGGGATAGATTTTTATTTATTAGAAAGTTTCACAAAAACATAACAAAAAAAAAAGAGCGGCGTAGCTTTTTTTCACCATTATTTGAGAAACTTTCTAATAAAAGCAAATTTGTCACTCAATATTTATTTGTATCCGCAAAAAAACATCGGTTCTTATTCAATATATGAAAAATATGGAAAAGTTTAAGGGAAACTGATGAAAAATTAATTCAAATTTCCGACTATTGGGTAAAAAAAATCGCCAAAACCTGAGAAAAATTATTCTTTTGCCCATTAAAATAAATATTCAGTGATAAATTTGCTTTTATTGGAAATTATCGCAAAAACCAAGAAAAAATGGGCGACAGAATTTGATATTCTTTTTTGGAGAAACTTTTCTGTGAGAAAACAAATTTGTCGCTGACGCTATTCAAAACCGATTTTTATCTAGAAAACATCGGTTTTTATGCTTTACCATCTTTGTTGTCATAAGTTAAAGTGAATCTGATGATAAATAAATTCAAAATTCAAGTTTCGAACACGAAAAATCGCTAAAAACCAGACAAAAATAATTCAGTTGCGAATAAAGATACATAATCAGTGACAGATTTTCTTTTATTATAAAGTTTCGCAAAAAATAACAAGAAAAGAGCAGCGCGGTTTTTTTCTCATCCTTTTTTGAAAAATGTTCTAATAACAGCAAATTTCTATTTGCAAAAACCATCGTTTCTTTTTCATTATGATCTACCTACTGCACTTAAATTTATAGAAACCTTTAGGTAAAATTGATGATAAATTCATTCCAATATCCAAGTTTTGAACGCGAAAAAATCGCTGAAAACTAGGCAAAAAAATGTTTTTATTTAAAAATAAATATTCAGTGTTAAATTTACTTTTATTGCAGAGTTCACAAAAAAATGACCAAGAAAGAGCAGCGCGGCATTTGATCATTCTTTTCTTGGAAAACTTTCTAATTAAAGCCAATTTGCCAAAAATATTATTCGGAACTATCGCGCTTTAAATATATAAACAAGTTTAAGTAAACTGACAAAAATTGATTAAAATCTCCAAGATTTGAAAGATAATTGATAAAATCAATTTTATCCCCAAATTTTTATCCTCACGCGATCAATTTTCCAATACATATCTCAATTGCAAATCCTAGAAGGTCAATTTTTCGCCAGTTTTCCCCTGTTCAAAGCCCAAAGATTCGAATAAATTTATCATCAGTTTCCCATAAATTTCTCCACACATATATTCAAAGCGCGGCCTGTGCCCGGGTGCCTTCTCACATTTCAAAATGTATCGTAAAATTTGAAAAGTTACCCAACTTTGCTGTTGATAAAAACCAGGCCAGGAAACTTTGCCTAAATCTTCTGCGGGCATTTATTCGTATCAGGCACGTTTGGGGGGCCGTTATTGCTTTTTCCGAAAGCCTTTTGGCCATTTTCCGGTTAAATTGGATTTCTATGTACTTTCATAACTCAGAAAATTGCACTAGGTTTAATTTGTATTTTAATCCTTTATCTATCAAACATTTTCCTCGGCGCATAGAACCGGAAAGTGAAAAGGGGGCGTTTTATCCTTACCAGCATTAGCAGGACTATCCAGCAGGAAATTCAGCGCCACGATCAGAACAAGCCGGAAACTCGTGCTGGCATTCATTTCTCTGCAAAGAAAAGAAAATGTTAAATCGCACAAAAGATTGGTTCGGACATTCGGGTGAATCAGCTATCAGTTGAACAATGAAGAAAATTCGCGCTCCCACAGCTATTTTCTCTGCATTGTTACTGGATGGAACCCCCCGATTGGGTTCAATCTTCACTCTTCATTCCCTAAAAAAGTGTTAATTTCATCCACTCTGAACTAGCGATTTCGGCTTACGTATAAAATGTGATTCGCGCTTTAGAGCGATATCGATTGAAGCGAATTAACTAACAATCGTTAATTATAGCCACCCTTTTCAGTCCTGTCTGTGTTCAGTAAACGTAGGGCTTAACATTATGCCAGTCGATTTGGCGAATTTACCATTGTATGTTTTGTGGTAAACCGGTGTTCTAAAGGGATTAACTCCATAAATTGTTCTGAATTGATTCGCCAATAATCAGCCAATATTGGACAAACCGGGCGATCTTTTTACCGGAAAAAATACGGAAGTTGCAACTCGAACAGGATGGAGGGCAGGAGTTTGAGTTGTGTATAAACTGAAAATTGATTGAAAACAACTGATGTTTTTTTGCGACTCAATTTTCTGTAATTTTAAATGAATATCGGTTTTTCTTCTTTTGTTCAGAAACTTTCCAATGAAAAAGTTATTTATTTCTTGGTTTATTCGTTTTTTTCATGCGAATTGATACGTTTTAAAACACACGTTTATTTATAATCATTTGAAGGGAGTCCAGGAAAAAACAGCAAAATTATCGCACTTTCCATATAAGACGGACTTTATCAATATGTGATGAAAAGCGATTTTCTTGAAACTGAGCACAAAAGTTCATAAAAAGCGATTATCCAGAAAAAGGTTTTGGTTCATRAACATCCCAACAGGCGAAGCCTAAAGCGACTTTCGTGCCGACTTTTGGACCATTTTTACGGGACAATTTGATTGAAGCTTTACAAACATTTCGGTTAAATCCGCTCATTTGGTGCGAAAGCGTCAATGTTTTCCTTTCAGTTTATGATCTGCAAAAATTTACCGAAAAAGCGCCTACAAGTAAATTCACTGTTCAAGGAACAAAATCAGCAAATTTATTTTTTATATTATTAAGAAACTAAGCAATTAAGTAAAATTTTAGCGAAGGCTTCATCAAACAATCGCCAAAAAAGGAATTTGCAAAAAGTCGATATCAAAGAGCCTAAAGGAAATTTGAGAATCCACTAGTCAGAAGAAAGTACGAATCTAGCTAACACAAACCTTTTGTTCGATTTATTTCAGAACTTTCAAGTGAACTTAAACAAATCGCTCAAAAATGCACTATTGACACTTAAAAAAATGCAACTGGAAGCAAACTAACAAAAATTACCATTCAATGAATAAAATAGCATAAAAAATAATGAGTTCATAGAATTTAATGAAATGATGCGACGTCTGCAAAATAACCATCAATAAAGATGGCGAAAGTGGGTAAAATCTCTAATTCCAACCACCCTAAATCTCGACCCAAAATACCCAAATGGAAAAAATTGCCGGCACTAAAGTCTCGAAACTTATTAATATAATAAACCCCAAAAAGCAGGGGCTTATCCTAGATAAACAGCCCAGAAAGTTGGCGCAATTCCATCAGGACTGAGTTGCAAAGTAAAATCTGTAGGTGGAGGAAAACTCTTTAGAAGCAAAATCTCACACAGTAATTAAACGGAAAATTCACAGAGTGATTGGCTGGGAGGCTTTCAGTGTACCATTTTGACTAATCAAAAGAGTTTTGAAACCTTCGGGGAAGACTGTTTCCAACCAAGATATTTTCAGGTGGTCGTCGATAGGAAATTGGATCAGACGTTTCGCTAGCACGCATGGTTAGCATCTTCAGAGATATGTTTCTCGCAGAAGCAAACCATTTTCGTTGACCCACTCGAGCTTGCGAAACGTCAAGACGAAAACTTGTTCCTCAACGGCCCGAAAACGCGAAAAACTCCTCATCAGTTTGAATTTTCCATCAACCTGAAATGCCTGCCGTGTATAATGTGTATTTGTTCTGCTAACTAGTGGCATTGCAAGCAAAAATGATGGGCAATTTTGAGTTTTTCAACTGCCTGTAAAGGCGAATTGCTGGTTTATTTATGGCAGAAGAGACAATAATGGATCATCTCGGCCACCTTCGACGAGATACAATCGTTACAGCATCAAGCGAAGACCGTTGAACCGTTGGGAATGTCAGACGACAGCTCGGATGGACGCAGTCTGCAATTACACAGAAATTTTATGACTGCAGGAAAAAATCACATCAACCTGGAATGTGCTGCAGTCAATCGACCGCAGAATGGCTCCCAGAAATTCATCTTGAATTGCGTTTCTTTTGCTACTGACTCAGCAGGAACTTTTACAAGGAAAAGCTGCCGCAGTGGCGTAGTTGGTTTTTCTGGTAGAACATCAACATTTTTCCTTCAATGGTCTAACGCTTCTTCGTCACCAGGTTTAGTAATTTGAACTTTTCAAAGTCGACTTTTTCGCGCAATTATTGGGTAAGATACAACTGCAAAACCCATGAATATGGATTTTTTCCTGCTAGATGTCTGGTGAATATTTCGTCACATTCCTGCTAACAACCAAGTGATATTTCCATTATATGCATTCGTTATAAGGAGTGATTAATGGCGCCCAATGTAATTAATAATGTTACGTGCTGCTCCTTTTCCTGCTTGTATCATCATCAGCACTTTTGAATTTAGGTATATTGTTTCTTCGAATCGCTAATTTATTACACTGGTTTTCTGGCAAATACGAAGAAGAAAATAATTTCCTCCTAACGTTTCGCAAGCGAGTGTGGCTAGCATCTTCAGAGTGGAGCTGCGCCCAACAAGCCCAAAACAMTYTTGGGAAATTTTCATTTTTGGTCGAAAATTTYATAAAGGTMTGCAAAATGCTTCGAATTTAAGATCATTTTCATCAGAAAGAATAGCGGAATGGGAGCTGATTGGAGCTTGTTTTTCAAACAAGCTCCCATATCCGAAACAATCTACCTTTTCTGTCCATTTTGAGTCATTTTTGGGCGGTTGCGATTTTTAAACAATAAAATATTCCTTGTAGTTTAGATGTGTGTATTGGGAGCTTCTGAGGCCGGAAACCATTCAATGAGCGCAGAAAACACGCTTCAGAAATTTTTACTTTTGACCAAGAGGCCAAACTTCGCGTTAGAGAAAGTGTTTAATGACGAAGTTGTTTTTTTTGGGACAATAGTTTTTCAATATTTATTATACATTTTCATCCCACAATATTTTTATCAGAAATTCTGGTAGTTTTGACCCAAAAAGCGCAGATTTGGGTGAAAGATTAGACCGAAATTTCATGTTTTTCGACAC